ATCACGTTTCTACTTATTGTTAAAAACACGTATACATAAAGATTCTAAGTATTCTCTAATTCATAGTGTACGCAAACTTTTAATAATTTACCTTTATGCAATTATTTCATTGAGCTTGTACAAGGGCTAATAGCACGGGATTTGCGAGTGCGGTGTCTTTGTTACTGGATAATTTTATTGTGATATTTATAGTTACTAGCTTCAATACAGATATACGGTTAGATATTGAATATATAACATATTGACAATATATTATTTTGCCGGGGCTATATTGAAATAGCGAAGTGTTATTCGAAAGTTTCTATATACCTCAAACATTCATTGGCAAACCATTATTGATATTTATTATTATTATTTTCACTGTCTATACGTAGCCCAAGTGAATTGTGTACGCGAAGAAATTTAAAATAAAATTATTTTTTTTATAATAATTTTTTAAATAAGTTGAAACCTCGGATATGCGGCATCATTCTTTATCATTTATATCAATAGTAAATTTTGCGCCGGAAAACTTTATACACCGAGATGATATTGGAGTACGTGTCGCCACTAGTCATATATTATATATATACTGGAAAGATATATATTCAGTACAACAACAAATATTGAATTAAAATCAAAGAATTAGTCACATACAGTGCATTATTGTAGCTGAAAAATCGGTTAGCGCTAAGTTATCAAATTGTAATATAAACTTTTCGTGGTGCGGAAGGAATAAGCGAAATAACGATTTCCCGTTTTTCCCGTAAGCTCAATACCCGTTCTATACCATGTACATGCGATATGATGTTTGTGTATTCTGAATAGGTGCAAGTTATGAATATGTGTAGAGCATTTGGATCGAGTGCGTTTCAGTAAATGACCTCTAACAAGCACAACTTGCGAAGAGCCCTTACAAAAGATGATTTTTCAGTACAGACATTACAAATATTAACATGCTTGGGAGGTATGTATCTGTTAAAATCAGAAAACGATTACGACAGCAGAAGTTGTAGTTACTAATACTTTTTAAGATTGGTCTGCTCCCAATCGGTATTGAACCAGGAGGTGGATAATTTAAAATAGGATTAAAATATATTTTACACATGTAGCTTACTTTTTCGGACCGTATGCTAGTTCTATTGAGCGTTGCATTTGGCAAACGCTACAGTGATTTAAATACAAACCAATATATTCGAATAATATTAGAAACGAGAGTATAATCTAGGTTGAAATATACTCGATCTCCGTGTCGGACTTATTGCTGTGACATATTTTCAAGAGAAAATAACGTATTTTGTGCTGTTTGTTTGTCTCAGATCATCTAAATTTAAACTTAATATGGGTTTTGTTTGCTTTATACATATATATGTATATATAGACTATATTAAAATCAGCAAATATGGGCTAATGCTATGTGACTTGAATGACTAGCAGACATGTAGATGATGGTCACTGTATAAATAACAGAGATGGTCTGACCTTTATCAATTTTTCAAGCTTGAAACAAACTCAAGGAAGATCTCTAATTTGAAGCGAGCGTGTCAGCCTAAAAACTATGTTGAAGTCCATGCAAACTCCTGCTCCACAGCCCAAAACAACAATACCGGACGCCGTTTATCGAATCAAGTTTTTCTTTACCTTAATCATTACTTATCGATTTTATTACTTATCTATTTTAATCGGTAAGTATGTTGATAGGTATTTGTCTGTCTGTATGTATGTCTGTTAGATGCACGCGATATCTCACGAAAGCAAGATTGAATTTGCTCCAGATTTTGCATGTGCATTCATCTTATCTCGAACAGAAGCCTATTGATTTTGGGCAAATTATGTCGTATAATTAGCGAGTTAATAATTTTTTAGTGATGGAACACAAGGTGTCACTATGGAGTGAGAGCGCTGTTTTGGAGGATCCCCTAACTTTCGATCGATAAGTCTTCGGTCTCTGACCGATATTCTCGTTTTCTGGTTATGACATTTCACCAGGCGATTAAAAGTTTTCATCATATGTACTTCAGTAATTTCAAAATATGTTTCTTCACGAATGTTGTCTCGGGTTATAAATAAATATATATATATATATATTATATAAATATATAATAATATATTTTTTTGACTATATTAAAATCAGCATACATGTACTGTGCTATTCAATGACTAGCAGATATGTAGGTGGTGCAGGGGTTGGTAGCATAAAAGTCATATTGGAGATGGCGAAATAGGGTCGATGCCTGTCAAGTTAGGAATGGCAAAATTGGGTCGATTCGTGTCAGATTGGGGATGGCAAACTACGGTCGATGCGTGTCAGTTTTTGGATGGCGTAATACAGCCATGCTTGTCCGACTGACTGACATAATACGCCAAATCGTATACAGATAACGATTAACAATTGCCTCAAAATGACAGCGAAATATGGCCCATGTGCTTAGATTTGGGGTTAATGCCTGTCACAGTCGGGCTGAGGAAATACGGTCGATGAGTGTCAAAATTACGGGTAGCGAAATACGGTCGATGGTGTCAAATAAGGGATAGCGAAATACGGTAGATTTGTATCAGATTGAGGATGACGAAATACCGTCGATGCGTTTTAGATTGGGAATGGCAAAATAGGGTCGAAGCGTGTCATATTGGGCATGGCAAAATAGGGTTGGTGCATGTCAGGTTAAGGATGGCAAAATACGGTCGATGCAAATCAGATTGGGGATGGCGAAATACAGTCGATGCGTGTCAGATCGGGGATGGCGAAATGCGGTCGATGCGTGTCAGAGTGAGAATGGCGAAAAAATCTTCTAATTTATCCAAACGTTGGTAGTTTTGAAGATATATTGGAAGATTCTAACGTAGGCACAAACAATGTAAATGATGTTGTATTCTATCTTTATTGATATAGATATAATGATTTCCTATTATGAGTCATTTTCCTGCATCCTATTTCAATGAATGAACGGCGGAGATCTGTTCCAAGTATTTTATTATTTTCACGTGCGTTTACTTCATTGGTTTCTTACTCATGCGACTGTCGGGCTGGGCGTGAGCAACTTCTAGTGCTCTGAATCTTGGAATTAACAATTTGCATTTTTTATACCTATATTAACAGTCGCTGACTACAATATTTTCATAAAACTGTATATCTCTGAAATATGAAACACTGTATAGGGTAGATTCTCAATGCATATTTAGCGTTTGGAAATGATTCTAAAACTTCTTGCAAATTTGTAAACGTAATATCTCCAGTGTTCAACTCCAAAAAGAGAAAACTCATTTCAAAAAAAGTCACGAGTAATAACAATTACAATGGCAGGAACAACCTAAAAACGGTCTCGATTTTTAATTTCACAACGCGTTGAAGGTTATTATAAAGGTTTTATAAAGCCATTCTCGGTCGAATTCGATGGTGGTATTTAATATAAAAATTAAAATAAACAACAATCAATCAATGCAATACCGCGTATTGCAATTAGTACTATGTATGTAAGATACAGGCCAGAAGTAAGTTGTACCAAGCGCTATAGAATGGGACAGGAAGACGGATGTGGCACAAACATTGTGAATAATGTAGTATGCATCACGTTTCATCAGTTAGAGCGCTGTTTTGGGGAATCCCCTAACTTTCGATCGATAAGTCTTCGGTCTCTGACCGATATTCTCGTTTTCTGGTTATGACATTTCACCAGGCGATTAAAAGTTTTCATCATATGTACTTCAGTAATTTCAAAATATGTTTCTTCACGAATGTTGTCTCGTGTTATAAATAATTATATATATATATATATATATATATATATATATATATATATATATATATTATATAAATATATAATAATATATATTTTTGACTATATTAAAATCAGCATACATGTACTGTGCTATTCAATGACTAGCAGATATGTAGATGGTGCAGGGGTTGGTAGCATAAAAGTCATATTGGAGATGGCGAAATAGGTTCGAAGAGTCAAATCGAGGTTGGAGAAATACGGTCGATGCCTGTCAAGTTAGGAATGGCAAAATTGAGTCGATTCGTGTCAGATTGGGGATGGCAAACTACGGTCGATGCGTGTCAATTTTTGGATGGCGTAATACAGCCATGCTTGTCCGACTGACTGACATAATACGCTAAATCGTATACAGATAACGATTAACAATTGCCTCAAAATGACAGCGAAATATGGCCCATGTGCTTAGATTTGGTGTTAATGCCTGTCACAGTCGGGCTGAGGAAATACGGTCGATGAGTGTCAAAATTACGGGTGGCAAAATACGGTCGATGGTGTCAAATAAGGGATAGCGAAATACGGTTGATTTGTATCAGATTGGGGATGACGAAATACGGTCGATGCGTTTTAGATTGGGAATGGCAAAATAGGGTCGAAGCGTGTCATATTGGGCATGGCAAAATAGGGTTGGTGCATGTCAGGTTAAGGATGGCAAAATACGGTCGATGCAAATCAGATTGGGGATGGCGAAATACAGTCGATGCGTGTCAGATCGGGGATGGCGAAATAGGGCCGACGCGTGTCAGGTTGGGGGTGGCAAAATGCGGTCGATGCGTGTCAGAGTGAGAATGGCGAAAAAATCTTCTAATTTTGCACAGCGGTGAGTTAAATCTCAGTTTGTGGTGACTGAAGGGTGATATTACAGTTTTGTGGAATATTGTTACTTATCGATTTTAATCGGTAACGAAAGCGAGATTGAATCTGCTCCAGATTTTGCATGTGCATTCATCTTATCTCGGACCAGAAGCCTATCAATTTTGCGCGAATTATGTCGTATAATTAGCGAGTTATTAATTAATTAGTGCTGGGACACAAGGTGTCACTATGGAGTAAGAGCGCTGTTTTGGGGGATCCCCTAACTTCCGATCGATAAGTCTTAGGTCTCTGACCGATATCCTCGTTTCAGAATTGTGCAATCGACTCCGACATTAACGAGATCCAAAATATATAACAATCAACAAGACCCAAACACGGAGGTAATTGAAAATTCAAAAAAGATACAATATGCCGTCATTAAATGCAAAAAAATGCTCTACAACATTACCTCATGTATAATACATTTATAACTAAATCAAGACTGGTGGAGTAAAACATTCATGCACAAATAAAGAATAAGAATTTATCAAGTTTATATGAGAATCCAAATAGTAGTATGACTACATTAATTTCAATTATAAAAAAAAACACTTCACATCGGTTCGATCAACATTGATGAACTTGTAAGGATGAATTATATGGCTTGAATATGATGTAATATGAAATTGACGATGATTTATCTTCAAAACATTCCGTTCCCGTGCCTAACATGCTGCAAAATATATTTTGATTTACAATATATTTGTTCTTCATGTAAATGAATGCTCAAATGGTATGATAAGGCCTAAAATATGACGATTGTAAAAAAATCGAATGCATATAAATTATAGACAATCAGTGTTGTAAATAAAATTAAAATTGATCTATTCGTTGGTATATACTAAAGTCCTAGAATAGTTATAGTCAGAATTTAAACTTCTTGTAATCAGAATTGAAGACTTATGAAAGTGATACTTTTTATTTTTAAGAAATAGATTATGTGTAAATCAGATATTGGTTTTCTGAATAGCATGGAGTCAGAAATCGAACGAAGCTCATATCATTTCAAATAACTAATTCTGACGAAATAATAAAAAGATCATTTATATCGATTTACACTTACGATATGCACAAGCTGGCCCAACCCAACCTTCATCGCAACTACAAGTTGGAGTGTTACCATCCAATATCACCTGACCATTGACACATTCTGAAAACAATACGTTACTGTTATAAACTATTTAAAATATGTGCCAAATTTTATGTTTGTTTGCCTCAACTGTGCCTATAATGTACTTTGCATTTATTTAAATAAGATTCATTGATATAGTTGCATAGCATCAATATCACTATTGTGTAAACCTGACTATTTTCCAATTAATATTATAAATATAGAAATATAAAAAAATAGCTTCTAAATAATCACGAAGTTTACTTTATAAATATCTTGAAATAATAATTGGAATCAACCATATTTGAACGTTTTTATTCTCATCGTTTTCTATTGCAAAAAGTATTTGTTATACTAGAATCGGGGGTGTTTAAAATAAATTTTGTATTGAAAGTGTATGAATTATGAAAATTATTGGACATCATGAATGGTATTTTATTATAGGCTTTATCCAATAAAATAACTCGTTTTCGATGAAAAAAACTTACCAAAAACCTGTGGTAGAGAACTACATGCATAATCTGCATAACAACCCATAACATCAATAAGCTCAGAATCTGCTATTTGACTTCCAGCATCGCTGAATATGAATAAAATACTGTATATCAAAGGTAAGTTCAAAAATTGAGGCGTTCGCAATGGAATATAATTTAAGTAGTTTGAAAACAAATCAAATTTCGTAGATTTGCCTGTTGAAATGATGAGGTCAAAGTATATATTATAAAATTGAGGCTACCCAATTGTACATAATAGTTGTGCTGGAGTCTTTCTCATCGTTTAAGCCGAAGTATTGGGAACGATTATTTGGTTATCTGTACAATATTTGGATTTGCTAACTTGATAATAGGTCGATCGCGGTATTACCTGATAAAATATTTAAAAAACTCTCAAGAATTCATAATTAATTTCAAAGATGTCAAAACGAAGAAAAACATATATTCTGACCGAGAGAAAAGACTAATGTTGGGAGTTTATGGTGTTTTTATATTGGATATTTTTTTCAGTAAACAGAATTTTAACTGATAAAATATTTCATATATACCGACATATCTATACAACAACATACGTGACAACAAGATTATATCCGAAAATCACTCCTGAAATTTCTCCGGTAGTAGAGAATTCACTCGTTACATCACTGCCTACAGTCCCAGCTACGGTTTGAACATCCAATGATGTGGAGGTTGGAAATTTGGAATACTTAAATAAAAAAAATTATATTCCAGTAAACTGACGTGACTGAAAAGTTAATTTTTATAACAATAATTAGCATAATTGGTTAAAACACATTAGATTGTTCAAAAAGATTTAATATGCATTGCCGTTGTCCTGGATTAGCTAATTTATAAGTACAAATAATTATTCTGATAAAACTGAATATTTCTTTAAGTGTCATCCTATTGAAAGGCTTATATTTAAAGTAGAAAATATAAAGTAAAATAAAAGTCCAAAAGTTACAATTCAGGTTACAGGGTTGGGAAAAAAACAGGGTTTCAATTTCCATGATCTCTGTGCGATTTCCCTGTAATTTTGTATAACTTGATAATAAATTCTAATCGTTTTCAGTCATCTTCAAAGAAATAATATTCGATTATCATGTCATTTTTCTATACTCCATTCTTGATTTACGTGTTTTTCATTAAATAATGAGATACATTTCGAATCATTATTGCAATATATCCCATTAAGAATATCACTAAAACGCACGCGGACACAGAGAAAAATATTCGCATACAAACGGCAAATCTTACCCCTGCCTGACCCAAAACAAAGAAAATATCTGCCATTGCTGGAGCGTTTGAGTCAGTTGGATTGTATCTCTGAACAATTTGATACCATACACCACATGTTCCTCTAACTTCATTTCCAGATATTATTCGATCACCAACAAGATTTGCATCTCTGTTTGCGTGAGTTATCTAAAATTATAAAATCAGTAAAATATATATTACTTATCTTTAGAACAAAATTTAATAAAAAATATGAGAAAAAACTAATTTTCAATTTTAATAGTTAAGGTTTAACGTAGTAAATTGTAGTAAAAACATTTCTACTACTTTTTCTTGTAAAGAAAATAGATTCTTTTTTGGGCTTGAATAAATGACAATTTTAAATGCGAATATTTTTTCAACAAAGATAATAATTTTTTTTGGTTTCTTGTTTTCAACAATAGTATTTGAAAAACTAAATCGAATCTTCTCAGCGATCGGGTCTTCTCAAAACTGAAGATATAGAGTTTGATTTGATTACTTATCGATCTTGATCGGTAAGAATGTTGATAAGTATTTGTCTGTTTGTTTGCTTGTCTGTCTGTTTGTCTGTTAGATACACGCGATATCTCACGAAAGGTTAAATCTGCTCCAAATTTTTCATGTGCATTCATCATAACTCGGACCAGGAGCCTATTGATTTTGGATGAATTATGTCGTATAATTAGCGAGTTATTAATTAATCAGTGATGAAGAGATCTAGATTTTTGAAAAACGAGAGAACGTGTATGACCTAGATTCCTGAGGCGAGAGCGCGCATGTGCTGAGTGTGTGTGCGATGCGTAAGTTTCCATCGAGAAAGTTTCCACGCTATTGAGTCAGAGCGGAGAATACACGCCGCTAGATCGGTAAGTCGGCGGTCTCTGATCGCTATCGCGTCGTGATATTCTTGGATTACCAATTGTGAATTAAATGTGAGTAATGTAGCCATGGATGTTTACGTCTATCAATTTATTGTGTGCACTTATTATTGACTGCAGATGCATATTGTTATAAAAACCCTTTTTTCTGTGTGAAATTCAGTCCAAAGTATAGTACACGTTCCTCATGTTTATCACTCTCAATTTGATAGATATATAGTAACACAATGACAGTATTGTATTGCATTAGGAAATGAATACTTGATTTGACTGTCGTACAAAACTTTGAAGAAAATCAGGGATATGCACAATAATCCATGTTCATTCCCACAAAAATGTAGACTTTGTTGATCATATAACACCATATCTTCATATCCCTAAATGTGTTTGTTTATGTTTTTAGAACATTGTTTTTACACAATTTTTAAGTGAGATCAGTTTGAGAATCTGAACAAAACGTAATTAAATTGCGTGCACTGGTACTTTAATCAAATACAATACAATGAAAACAATATGTTGTATAAATGGCGTAACTGTGGCTCTTGACTTTTCTCCTTGTCATCGGAAAATTACTTCTGGCTAGTGGACCCAATTGTATTCCTAATGCATTCCAATTAGTAATTTGTATAAATCCAAAAAGAGGCTCGATGATTGAATTATGAAGTTACCTTCACGTTCCATCCTATAGAATGTGTTTCAGAGACAGGAATTTCGATTCCCAGAAGAAAATCATTCTCACTGCTTGACCGCATTATCGGGAATGGTGATGAAGAACCACTATAAAAACAAACATTTCCATTTGATCAGTCTTCTGACTCACCCAATAAACAAACATCCTATAGATAAATTTTTAACAATATACACGTTAAAAGAAATAGATGTTATTTTAGGACCACTTACCCAACGTAACAAACTAAAACAAATCTGATAAGCAACGACACATATTTACATATAACTAAAATGCTCATAACAAGGCAAGAATCTCTGAACTCCGTTACAGAGCGTAAAAACACATCCAGCGATAAATGAGATATAGATAAATTAGACAGATAAAACTGTATTCAGAAAATGCAAATAAATCACATGATACGTCGAGAAAAAACAATTATTGGTAAAGAAAGGAAATAAAATGACATCTAAAATTTTTATTTCAACAACGTATATATATTTTAGATTTAGAGGATTACTCATGGCTCTTTTTGAATAAAACTGGAGAAAACTCATTACTTTTACTCTAGAAATTCAGACTTGTGCGGGTGTTTGGTCAATTTGCGATTGGAGGTGTTCTCATTACAAAAATCCGACGTGGAAGAAATTTTAATTTGAAAAATTTATATAAAAATTACAAAATATTCTTTTAAAAATTTAGGATATAAACAAGGTGATGCAATATAAAAAGGGAAAATGGACTTTTTGGTTTTACCCATCAGTGAGCTCTTAATCTGAATTTGATATGCTATTTCTACGAATAAGAGTAATTGTTATCAAAATGTGTGACTTTGATAGCATTTATCACTGCGTGAACAGTTTGGAGAAATATATTTTCTATTACTTTAATACTTGTCTTTACTTACATGCTTTGAGTTATTTGTCTAAGTGTGTCATAATTCCTGTTTGAATCTCCGAATTCAAAGTTCTGTAAAATATGGTTAAAAAGAACAATCAACCATCTATTTACATCATCGAGCTGTAACAAATCATCCAAAAAGGAACGTGGCGAAGTGAATTTTGAAACCCAATAAAGTTTTTCGATAAACAACTGAAAAGTTTGACAATATATATATAAAGAAATCTAATAGTCTCCGTACTGTAAACATTTTAATGTTGTTCATATGAGTTCTTTATAATATATTATGAAAAATAAATTTTAGGTTTTCAAGAACTGCATACTGTATTTTTTTAAGTATATGGTATGTAAGAAGCCGTATAATTAATAGGTCAATATTATTTTTTCTAGTAAATATGTGAAGCAGCTGAAACTGGGCACAAATGTTCTTGTTCCTATTACTTATTTAATTTGTCCATGTTCTCCAAGGTTTATTTATTTTTTCTCTTTTCACAGTTCGGATTAGATTTCGATCTGCATTGTTATTATAGTTATAGCTCGAATAGGAATCATGTTTCCACTTCTTGATTAATATTTATTACTTTCACCGCTCACTTTAGTTTCTCTGAAACTATTTGCAACAGCTATTTTTTTACCATTCATTAAAATAAATAATAACAAGCACCTCGACCAGAGTTTGAGCAATATTTGCCACTTCGTTCACAGTTATGTCTTCATTTTCTGCAACGTCATACTGATATTTGAAGTGATTCGATAGGCCTGCTGGACATTCATCTCTGTATGACATTTTAGTTACAAAATTTAGAGAATGCCCCTCTGAAAGTAAAACATAACTGTATTACGTTTTGTGAAAGCTTTTTGTTTTTCATTAAAATGAATACGCTGGTATATTTAAAATATAACTAGTACTGCAAATTTAATTTATATATATAGAGAAAATTAACCAAAAACACAAAGACTTTTTGAGCTTTTTTACAGCTTAATTCGATCGAAGTTGTAGACAGGAAGTCAAATATGATGAAAGATAATTCGATATGAAACTTACTAGAAATACAGGTTACGCCGCCGTACCCCATAGCACATTCGCATATCTGTCTGTTGTGTGGTTGAAGTGTTATCACATTTCCTTGGAAACATACTGAAATTAAGAAGCTATACAAACTGAACAAAAAAATCAACTGAAGCCACCACTGTCCAGATTAGTTTACATAAAAACAAATGAGATACATTATATCTCAATGTTTGATTTATTTAGTTTTAGGCAAATAATTTAAGTTTGAAATTTTTATTGTGAATAAAAAAAATTACATCGCTGTTATAAGTAATAATAAGTCTATCATTATCATAATTGTTTTGACGTTTCAAATCTGCCATTCATTCGATTTTGATTCTAAATTAAATTCAAATTGATTAATATTTTAGAAAATTAATAGTATTAACACAGAAAGCTATTTTGTGTATTTGTAAAAATTTGTCTGCAATAAATACTAATTTTCGTATTCTAAAAAGGGAATGATTTTGTTTTATCATTATTCGCGTGTGTTTTTTGTCATTGGTCAAAAACGAGTGCAACAAATTAAATAGTGTGGCTTTTATTTGATGTCACATCTGGTCGATGTAATGAGAAGAGCATGCATTCCAGTTTGCGAGTGTTACTCTGCTATGCACTGATATCATTTTCACTTATGACGCGCAAGGAGAACAAAATGTAATAGATCCAGTGTTTAAACAGAATGAATCGAAACGCTGATGTATGAAAATGAAAAAAAAACGAACGATTCATAATTAAATGTCCTATTATGTTGCCCTCCTATTGATCTCCAAAATGTAAAACCATGAATTCCGGACGTTTTTCAAATTTCTGTTAATCATTTCTGTGATACTGCTTTCCTATTGAGCAGCTAGATATTAACATCTTGTTGCCGGTATGCTCAAAGAAGCACTACAAAAGCATAAAAGTGGCCCGAAGCATTTCTATGCCGCCTCAAATGCATCATATCATAATTATTAAGTGTTGGTGGGTTCCGTGGGTTGCTTTGACTTAGTGAATAACAAAGGTTTATGGAATAAACGATAAATAAATTTACCATCGGTGCAGGTGTTACCAAAAGCTGAAGGATAACATCTACAGACATCGTCGCCATTTTCAAGGGTCTCTACGTCTCCGTTGTTGCATATGAAAATACCTAGATTCATTTGTGTTTTAATTAACATTTGAAAAACGGGATATCAATTGTGTAGCTAAATTTTAAAGCCTCTGTTCTTGTTAACAACTTGAAAAAGGAAATGCGTTGTTAAATCCATACATTAAAAAATGTAAGTAAATTTTGTGAACTAATATGATGATCATGAGGACACATCAAGTAGTTGAATTGTTTTTTAAAATTAACAGAAATGTTATCGATTATTCTTAATATGTAGGCTAGTTTATATGGGGTTGAAAGTGTATGCGGTTTAGTTTTCCGGCGCAAATTTTAAATTACAATTTGTAATTTTCTACTTACCATCAACGACAGTGCTAAACTCGTCCGCATATATCAATGAGATGGCTGCGACGTCTGGTAAAGTCATGGTGTTACCTTGATCCCTGAAAGTAGAATTTTATACTCCAATGGAACCTTTTGTAAACGCACGAAAACAATCGCTTAAGAGTCAATAATTAAAAGAGAGAGCAGTATTCAGTTACAAAATACTTTATCATTCATAAAACGTTAGTTTGAGCTTGTTTTCTATTCAGAGTACAAGTATGACACATATACTCATATTAATATTCCAATGACTCAATACCGTTATCCAAAATAACTTTATGTGTTATCTGGTTATCTACAATTTACTTATTGTATATTTCAATTAATAAATGAATGAATACATACTTCATAAATAATATAGATCCAAATAAAACGTATCTTGGGGAGCCTATCAGTCTAATCTCTGCTGAATCGGCAGTTGAAGTTCTTTGCACTGTAATAGACTCCTGCAAACATACTATGGGATTTAAGTTTAATTTACGCATAACTCACTGTAACAACATGTCACTCATGATAACTAAGTAATAACTGATCTTACTATTACTTAATACTACTTTATGTACTATTATAGTTTTTTCAATAATTTTTTTTTTCAATTCGGGTGTTAAAAAGAGGGAAGGACTGGATTTTCGTTTTGTGAAAATGGGGAGGATTTCTTTTAAAACTATTTTTTCAATATAAATCAGCGTAAAACAAAACTAGTGCTATTTTCAGTGTTCTTGATATTTCATTGGTAACGGACGTTCACAATCCCATTGAGCCTCGACAGTGTGTAGAAAGAGCAAATTTTAATCGTAACATTCACATCAATGTTTATCTGGGACAGCTGTAGAGTCTCTGGAACTCAAAATCTCTAATTACTGGTTACTTGAATTTGAAGAAAATTGTTATTTTAAAAATTTGGCTGAGCTAAGCTGATGAAATATATGAATATTTGTTTTTGCTGTGGAAAAATACTGCGGCTTTTAATAATTAAGGCAAATTATTCGAGATACCTAGGACCAAAAATGGTAATCCCGTATAGAGTGTGTACCAGGTTAGGCTTAAGCCACAATTTTATTCCGACTCTGCCGATAGGCTGCCTTTGCATAACTCGTAAAGTAGGCGAACGAAATTTATAGCGCTGAAGTGCCCCGAAAATAGCATTCAAAAAGAAATATATCATTAAATGGCCCATCACAACTGGTTCCAATTTAATATTGATGTAAATAATGCATTTATCATTTGCCTTTTTAACACAATATCGGCGGCATGATTGGATTGAAAACGTCAATACCAAAAATAGATGCCTATTCGTGCTTGGACTATATTTGAATAAGGAAAAACTTCTTTTTTGGAATAATATCAAGTTATTTTAATCGCTAAAACGTTATTTGAAATAAATGGATTTGTATTGATATCTTCTAGATTTCATACAGATATCAAAAACACCAAGACTATGTTATATTTAAAGTTTTACGCTGTTTCATATCACAAAAACCCGATGTTGGGGAAATCCACCCCATTTTCACAAAACCAAAATTAAAAAAAGGGTATTTTTCCATGTACTAAAAACCTATCTAGGTTGAAAGCTGGAAACAAAAAAAAAATTTATGCTGCACAGTGTTATCTGTCGATTTCTATTGCATAATTAAGGTAAATAAATCAAATAAACCCACTTTCTTCCCTTTATTTAAAACATTGTATATGTTCTTATCTTATAAATGTTACATATTGCTTGACTAAAAAAGACACGGAATGTCAAAGGAAAAATTGTGAAACACGGATGCAAGACTTCTAGAACAATCGTTTTGGCTCGTTTTATCCTTGCAGTCACGGATACGATACCACCGGCATAAAGGCATATACATCAAGGCATTACCACCGATATATCTCAAACCGACCATTTTTATGCAAATGGAGAAAATACTATATTGTATATAACGGATGAAGTGACCGAAAATACATAATTACCTGTCCCACTCGTTTCATGATAAGTTGTATGATAATGACTGTTTCGTAAGAGGCGTACACTGTTTGTGTTGCCGAGTATTCATAAGTACATTTTCCATCGGTTGTTGTAGCAGTTGCTGGCCCTAAAGTCGTGACTGTTCCCGTTTCCGCGGGTGATGTGATAGTGGTTTTCATCTAAAAGTGGAAAAAGGTGAATGGGTGGCCCAAATTTGACAAACCTATACATTTGCATAGTAATGCGATGCAGTAGTTATAGATCTAATGTGTATAGTGAAAGATTTTTTCTCTCATGTATTGTGTAAAATTAAAAATGTAATATGACATATGTTACATTAAAATTCATCTCAATTTGATGAGATTCGAAAAATCGTTCATACATTAAAATATACAAGAAAAATTCGTTGATATGTTATAAAAAATAATAATTTTGTAGCCAAGGATATTTCTCTAAATTACAAATGTGCAACAAGAGAAGCGGCAAATATATCCATTATTCCCATGTTCGGCGGTAATAAATTTTTTGTTCACATTCAGTGTCAAAACACGGAAAGGCTGTTTTGTTTTAAATATGCTCTTGCTCACTTACTCTATGAAATGTTTCATCCCTGAGTCTGTCTACATTAGTAAAATAGACCAATTGAATGAAAGGCGTTGCTGTAGACTGATCGTATTCGAGGTCTCGAAAGCTTTAAAACAAACGAAGATTATGTAAGAATTAAAATCTAGTGTTGTTTTATTGTTTATGTTCAATAGACACGGGTTTTCAATATCTCTATCTTTTATATCTGTGAGGTATCGTTTATCATGGATGAGCTGATGGGTTATATTTTTGTACTGTATTTGGATTAATCTCTTCTGGAGACCAACATAAATTGTGTCCAACTATCGCACGTGAACCGTACGTCGTAAGAAAATGCAATGATTCTACTACAAAATTGATAAAACCCGAAAAACTTTATTCGAATGAACGGATGAGTACAAATATATCTTAGAGACGTCGCCGCCCTGAAGCGCTGCTCAAGTTGCTGGAGCAATAGTCATTCTTGGACACAAGGTGCATGTATGGATCTTTTTGATAAATTGTTGTTATTTCGTTTGCTTATCCCGCGACCCATCGATTTCAATGCTGAATTACTTAAAGTTGTAAAGTGTCGATAGGCACTAAAAAGCTATTACCAAATGCTGTAACATTTGGTGCTAAGCCAAAGTCTTACTGTTATGGTGTGACTGGATTTGTATTACTGATTCTTCGAATATTTTGAGTGATCAGGTTACAGATTCCACTGTAGCCGGTTGGGTGCAAATGTCCGTCGGCTTAAGTGCATATATATATATGTTCAATTTCCGCAGGTGCAATCGATATGGGATTGCTGAAATCTGTAGGTGCGAATGTGCGTGGGCGCAAGTTTTCCTAATGAAGTCCAACACAATTGAAGAAACTGACGGCACAAAATGTCCAATGATACCGATGAATTTAAAATATTTGCCGCCGTTAACAAAACTGTCCATATTTTTCCCGCAACCACGGTTGGCAGGAATACGAAGTCTAGCGTTGTTTTAGCACGGTTACTGACAAACTTGTTTGCGCATTCTTAATCAGAAAAGGTTCTATTAGATTTTGACGGCATTAATTGCCAATACAATATGCACATAAAATATGACTGCGTTCTATAATCTATACAATCATTTGGCACGTGGAATGTGGGCTCTGCAGTAATCGAGTCTATTCTATTGAATAGTAAGTACAATTCGGAGACATGTTGAAAAAATCGCTACCTATATATAAAACAGGGCTAGGATAGGCAGTTTGATCAGGAATTCGGTTTCCATGTAGATCTGTCCACATTTTCAGGAAATGAGTCACTACTACTCGGATATGAACATTTCTTGTATGACGGAGTCTACACAAACACCTTACAGTGGCTCCATTGCTTGATTCAGTCGATATGTTAAAAGAGTGTTTTAAGAAGTAGAAAACGGTTTCGAAAAAAATTTCCTTGTGTGCAACCTATGATCCCCCGACTATAATTGACCGTTAGCGTGGCTTCATTGTACTCATAAAAACAAATCCATATATGCTCATGATTCATTGTAATTCGTCGCCAACATTTGGTGGCTTTTGACAACAGTCAACCAATAGCCAGGAATGATTTAAATCATCTTTTTATGGTGTTTCGGAATTTCTATAAAGTTATCCTGCCTGTCGGTGTGACGACGGCACTTGTTAAGCTTGCAACGCCTGGATTCTAGTAGGAGGGACATATTTAATGTTGATGTAGGAACGCATGATAAACAACTTTAAAAGCGTTACACAAAGATGTCTCTCAATTTTGAGATTCCTGAATGGATAACTGATAGAATAGTTAAAGCAGTTTGGATTATGAACTTCTCGAAAAGAAAGGCAAAAAACTCGCGTTCAGTGCCATGAAAACATTCATAAAGGGCAAACAATCGTCTTGGCATAGAAAACAAAGATGTGATTCATTTCGATGTAACAACCTTTTGTTGTTTTAGAAGCAAATCCTGAGGACGAACAGCAAACGGGTTCATGGTACATCCGTAGTTACATCACCGTGCAATGTTCTAGAAGTGGCGCAACATCATCCAAGACGTGGTCGGCGTAAACAAAATTATGTCCAATATTATGCACCCAGTTAAGATAGATGTATTTGTATTCCACCCAGTGTCGCTAATAGTATATCTATAGCATATTGCATTCATATCCATTAAACTCGGAGAAACGGGAGTTTTCGTGTCTCCCAACAATTTAGAAAAACGATCCGTACGTCCAACCCTGGTCCAATAAAGTCGAAAATATTAGCGCTGGTGCTGTCTTGCTGGTACAAATTGATCACGTGTTGAAGTGGTTAAAATATTCTAGAATTTCAGTATCTATCTTTTGTGCACATGCTGGTAGTATTCGCATTTATCTTATGGCGCAGGAAACTTTGAGATGTAGTCATTCTTTAATGTCACAATGATTTGAAACGAAGACCCGTTTAGGTTATAGCAATTCGATATAATATATTGCTCGTGGGTTGCTTGCTAGTGTTTCCGTTTTGGTGATTTCAGCGGAAATGAAAGCAGCATAATCGTATTTTGGTAACGAGAATAGATATTTCCTAGTTGAGAACACGCCCGCCATGATTCGCGAATTAAAAAACAAAATGCAATATATGTAATTTCCAATTTTGAATTATTTTATTGAAACATTTTGAAATTTCAATTTTTTATTCATTTTGTGCCCCAATCCAAACCGCTCTCATGGCATGATCTATGTTTGCCATAACGTAGATACGTCACTGGGATTTTCCTATGTGTATATCAATATTCATTTCCCGCATTTTCCTGAGAGGATTTTATTTATTTTAAATCCCAAATTGAAATCGTCGGTTGCCTATGTTTTAATTTAAGTGATAATTTTAATATCAAACACTCGAATGCGTATAATTATAAAATCTACAGTCATCTACCTAGTACCTACTAATACACATACGCTGGTTTAATATCAATATTTTTGGCTGTACAGGGTGTCTCAAAAGTAAGTATACACTTTTAATTTTGATTTTCATTTCAGGTACTCATCATAGAGCGTTCATTTCTTCAGAAAACATAGTATGGATAAGTAGTAAAATTTAGGTATCGTTTTCATTTTTGTTCAACCCGCAGAATAACGAGGAGATTAACCGGCGAAATGAGGTGCAATATTGCTGTTTGGCAAGAAGCATATAAATTAGTAAAGCAAACTCAGCACCTCTATAGAGAATTTGGAATTAATCCGGCTCCGATTGTTTTCCTACGAGCGTCCGCTCCACAGTCTTCCTAATATTTATGCATCAACTACAGATTCAGTTTCTATAAATTTACGATGAATTGCATAAATTGTTCGCTGTGTAGGAGCCGAATTAATTTCAAATTTTTTGGTTAAGAGTTTACCTTACTGATTTATATGATTTTTGCCAACCTGCAATTTTGCACCTCGTTTTTGTGTTAATCTCCTAGTCATTATGTGGGTTATTGAAAAATGCAAACAATACCTAAATTTTACTACTTATGCATACTATGTATCCTGAAGAAATATATGCTCCATGATGAGGACCTGGAAAGAAAATCAAAATTAAAAGTGTATACATACTTTTGAGACTTAACCTGTATTATTCGAATCGTGTTACCCACCTCATTAGTTTGTTTTTAAATGGACTGGAAATAGCTGTACTTTATTTAACAAATTACATTCCCACACTTCATCTTTGCAAAGTCTGTCTCCGCTAAACAGCGTTCAGTTTAGAATCCTTTGTCTCAAGTCCAGCAAAAAGGCCTTGCACAAAAACAAACAACAGCACGTGGCTCCAACTAAAGGCAATGACTGACCGGAATCAATTTTTTGCAATTAGTTTCTTTTCAAGCGTTAAAGGCATGAGTTAAGTTACTAGATATATGCTATTAAAATTTCACAATGTTACATACCTTATGTCCGCATTGAAATCGTTTTGTATCAACAGGAATCTATCAAATCCAAATTCCTAAACATTTGAACATAGTATTTCCAGTTAGTATGTGCGGAACTTCAGGGTTTATATAAATATCTCAGTTTCACTATTTTATACTATCACTTTAACTGATCTTAGTGTAAGCATGTCATTTTTCTCTGCAGGTCCGCGTTTTTTTATTTCCTAGTACAGGAGTGTGCAACACACTGCGCGCCAAACCATTCTTTGTGGCGTTTGCCAACAGTCGGATTTTTACCCACCAAGCAAAAAATCATAATCTGTCAATTTATGTTTGCAAAGCTCACTTGGGTTAAAATATATAACTTTTTTTTGCTTTTGTCGTTGCGTTGAATCTTTCGTCGTTTTGCCCGGTGCCTTCAATACTCTAAGGCTAAGCAGTCAGCTTTCTAATCCTATTTTGCTAGTCTAGTGAGAATAATATATTTTCCGTGTACACTGAACATCTAAATCTTTTGTGTGGCCCAGCTAAATTTCTTAAGTTGGTTATATGGCTTACCGACAAAAATGTTGCACACCCCCGCCTAGTAGTTTCAAAATATGAAGTATACTATGACATTCGGAGCGCATTTCAACATTATTAACATATATGGCTATTCCTGTTTTTGTTATAATTACTATCTGAAATAAAGTACAGCATTAAATTATTCCAGCTCAAAAGATTTTGTACAATTTGCAACCTTTAAATTTATTTCAAAATACATTGTCATGTATATAGACAAATAGTACCGGCAAAGGGGACTAGCTCCATCAGTCTAGTTTTTGTGAATCAGGTCTCTGCGTAAATATTGGAACTATATTAAACATGAAAACTGTTTGAAGTTTTGTTTCATGGCTTTCAGTTTTTCGCTAATTTTAGGAGAACATTTTTTTGTACACTATTCAATAACAGACGTTTTAAAGTTCTTACCGTTGATATGATTGAATTTGCGCTCGTCATAAACGGACTTCCAGTTCCGGTGTTATATGCAAATGGGTTGGTATTTAAAGCATTTATAGCAGTTCTATCGCCTGCATCAATATTCCCCAGTGCAGCGTCCGGTATATTTCCTGAAAGTAAAGATAAAAAATTACGAATGCTAACTATCCTTCATTTAAGGGCATTACTACATGGCTATGTTTATTCACAAATCTCAAAGAGAATCGAAAATAGTACAATTTTGTGTATAATCAAATTCTGAACAGCTTATGATACTAACCTACGAGATACAAAAGGACTTTCCACTGAATGCGTAGGAATAAGGTTTAAGCCGAAACACAGCATTGCAAAAAAAATAGTTAGGCAATGTTTAACATATTATTAACAATTTTAAAAAAGTACTTTGAAATGATTAAGAATAAATTTGAAAAAATACAAACATAAAACGGAAGATTATTTATGATATTTTTTTGGCACTCCAGAAGTATATGTACCAATATGGAGGTAACTAATTTTGTTAGCCTATACTTTACATCAATTTCTGTAAATTGACGGAAGCCCATGGGCAGGGGCTATATTCACTTGGCTAACACAAACAGTCCCCGAACTCGTAATAGAACAGAAATAAGAAAAATTAGAATAAAATTATGGCCTGATCCTACAACCTGGTACACATACTACGGGAATACCTATTTTTACTATGACTAAATAATGTAGACTCTTACACCGAAATCCTTGCATAGAATTTGAAATAAGTATTGTGATATAAAACCCAGGGCTGAATGTCGATGGCGAAAAGCGCAGCCTCTAGATTTACGAAAGAGATGTGAATAGAATATTAGTTAACTTTTTTTCATAATTACCTCTTGAATTATTTCTATGCATTTCTTTGTGATTTTCTAATATCGTCAAAACGTTATGTTTTATATATTTACTTACCGCCACTTTTACACAGGTCAAAGCACAAATACAGCAACACAAGTTTGAGACAGCTGTGAATATCAGTATACATTTTCTTGTCAATTGCTACAACTGAATTTACCCAAACGTTAGTAGTATCGAAGGTTTATTAGAAGATTCTAACGTAGGCACAAATATTGTATAAATAACGTAGTCTTTTAAATTATATTAATAAATATATAAGGATTTCCGGTTATGAGTCATTTTCCACATCCTATTTCAATGAATAAACTGCGGAAATCTGTTCCATTATTTTCATCAGGTACATTCCCATTATTGGTTTCTTTTTATATCGCAATTAGTACCTTGTAAGATACAGACCAGAAGTAAGTTTACCCAACCCTATAGAATTGGACTGGAAGACGGATAGGCACAAACATTGTGAATAATGTAGTATGACTCACGTTTCCACATTCTGTTAATTAAACACGTAAACATATAGCTTCTAAGTATTTTATAATTCTCAGTATACGCGACCTATATATTATTAATTTAACTTTATGCAACTATTGCGGTACTCCCGTAGTATGTGTGCCAGGTTAGGGTTAGGCCTTAATTTTATTTTTCCTTATTTTAGTTCTATTACAAGTTCGGAACTGTCTGTGTTAGCCAACTAAATATACCCCCTACTCATAGTTTTCGGCACCTTCACAGAACTTGATGTAAATTAGGCAAACAAAATTAGTTACCTCCATATTGGTACACATACTTCTGGAGTGCCCATTGAGCTTGTTCATGTGCTAATAACATGGCATTTGCGAGTGCAGTGTCTTTGTTACCGGATAATTTTATTGTGATATTAATAGTTACTAACTTCATTATATGACAAAATTAAAATACGGATAGACGGTGAGATATTGAATGCTATTTTAAACATACACAATTGTTTACACTTTTTGTGAATCTGCAAAGGTCATATAGATTGTCCCACAAATCCCGAAGTTTATTACTCTCAGCAGTTACGTACCTCAATACTGTTAGAAAGCGTTGGTCGTTCAACGTTTAATTCTGTTATTTCTTTTTTTATTGAAAAACTTTTTGAAACTCCTAACCTATGTGACTTGGTGGCCTAATAGTTAATGCGATAGACGTAGCTATGATGGCATCGCAAGTTACACATTTCGGTTTCAAAGCGTATCGCCCGTGGTAGGTAATAACGAACTTAATTTGAGAAACATTTATGACAATTAAAAAAGAATAAAAATTAGTTTAATCGGGTCAATATTGAGGTCTGTGTCATCAGACCAACTCGAATAATTTTTTTAAACACTGAGGCACCGTTGAAAAATTCTACTATTAAATTTTCTGTGATCTAAGCACGTGTTTATTTTGCTCGACGGTTAATTCAGCCCTGGCTCAGCCGCTCCAGTCACAACTTCTATCATGATCTTCTACTCCGTAACATCTCGATTGTGCTTCTCGCCTTCCCCCTTACTACTTACCTATTTGCAGCTACTCATCCTTTCTATACACTCCAGAGCCCAGTATTCAAATACCTAACGGAACCTGATTGTACGGCTGATGAAAACATGAAATGCGTGGAGTATCACAAACCAAGTTTGTTATATACCAATGTGACTCGATAGTTGAGGTGTTTCTCATTGGTATTCCAGTATTTTGCGTCCTAAGTTTGAAAACTCTCATTTGTAAATTAACTCTTTGTGACTATAGAGATGGCGGAATCGAGTCCGGGTTCAATTACAGAATCGATTCTTCGCGGAATCGACTAGAATCGTTTCTGATGCATTGGAACCGATTCTCGAGTGTAAAACTTGGATCGCAAACAATGTGTAACGTTGTGTGGCAATTCCTTCACGTATATGTATAAACTGCTTTCTTTACCGCTATGTTGAGTTGCTACAACGCCGCAAGCTTCACTATTTATATTTTTTTCGCTAGAAGGCTTTTACGTTTATTTATTTCTAAAATCTTTGTAGGTTCTGAGGGATTCGATTTTTGTGCGATGTTGTTTCTTGTGACAGATTGGATACACATACTACTGAGTTTTGGCCTCATTGTTCGTCCAGATATTTGAACATCGCTCACTTGTTTCATTCCATATATATGGTATTGCTTATTGGTGGGTATGTTTCCCCGGTAATATATCGTGGAATGATATTCGGAATCGGATGGGAATCGAATACTTGTAAGTAGTCATACTTAGCATCCTTATTTGTGACCACGAGTTTAAACTTATTGGGACTTTTCCCCGAGTCTTGTCTCAAGCTCATTGGTCTTTTCTGTAACCGAGTTGGTTATCCGTATTCTTGAACTCCGCAAAATCTGAAATTTTAATTGGTGTTCTTACAAGCAATTCATGATATACAAGATGTTCCGCTGACCGAAAATCGCTACCTTAGAGAGCTGTCACAATATTTCACAGTGTATTTGAAAACATTTGCAAATCAGTCGTCTTTTTGGGAAGAAAAATATATATTAAAGATTTACCTGCTATTTTGATAAATTCATGTTTTTAACTGTTGAATGAAACGTGAATTATTTATCAGAAATTTTAACCCACCTTCACATTCTCGGCTTTCATTAGAAAACGAAAGTAATCGTTTTTAAGGAGCTTGAAATTTTGAGAGAGTACGACTGAGCAAAAATTTTCCAGAGCAAATTCATTGCAATGCTCCTTCAAATTTACACAGTTGAACATGCTGGCAATTCTTTGCGTTGATACGAATGATTAAGGTCCCAAATCATTGGCAAGAAAGACAGCAATTCCATTTTACATCAAGTTATCTAAAGAGACTGAAATCTATGGGCAAGGGGATATATTCACTTGGCTAACACTGACAGCCCCCGAGCCTGCAATAGAACAAGAATAAGGAAAATAAGAATAAAATATAGCCTGATCCTAACGTGGTACCCATACTTCGGCACTACCGTCTTGCCTCTGTAGCGCCCAGATATGGAGCTTATTATTGGTTTCGCTGTTCTCGGGTGGAATCAGAAAATCTTACAAATAATATATATCAGCAAAATGCAGAAATTCATTTTCAATATAAAATCTCGTTTGCAGCTCAATCCGAAAAAAAAATTGGGTACTTCTGAAGTATGCATGGCAAGATGGCGGACAGCGGAACGTAGTGTGTCGTGGAATCGATATTCGAAATCGGATAAGAATCGAATACCTCTAAGTAGTCATACTTAGCATCCTTATTTGTGACCACGAATTTAAACTTATTGGGACTTTTCCCCGAGTGTTCTTTTCTGTAACCGAGATAGTTATTAATCGGATCCTTGAACTCCGCAAAATCTAAAATTTCAATTGGTGTTCTTACAAGCAATTCATGATATACAAAATGTTCCGCTGACCCAAAATTACAACCTTACAGAGCTATCAAGACGTTTTCGAACTTACCAGCAGTAAGAGTGACCAATATATTCACAGAACGATATAAAGACGATAAAATCAAGGAAAAGTTTATGAAAAATATAATTCCAATTGCATAGTTCGCTATTTGTCTCGAAATGAAATATTTTACTTGTAACACATTTTGAATTCGAAAAAACGGAAATAGGTTTTTATTTCAATGTTTTGTCAATTTTTTATAGTAAAAGAATTTGTATAAAACAATGTATTCACTAAAACGTGATATACTTTGGCATTGTGCCTATAATATAAGTGCAACGTACCAAACAGCCCAAATAAAACTTAAACAATGTGGTATTGGATATCATTCAAACTAGTAAAAACAAAACATAGGACTCACATTCTGGATCATGATAATTTTAGGCCTGTTTTATTCAATTGCACAGAATTGCTGAAATTGAACTAAAATACAATTCTAGATTGGCCAATACCAAGTAGCAATCATGAAAATACTGTATGTATATTATTAAATGGTTTTAAATTATATTGATAAATCATACAGGTGTCAGTATTCCTGTAATGTCTTATTTGCACAGCCATTCATTTTCTTGTAAAAATGGAGGTAAATTGCAAAGGTAAGCATGTTCTGCCTAGAAAATTTTCGCTTAATATTTTTTGACGACGATCGTTGTATTGAAGCATAAGGATTTTGTTACTTTTCAGATATCCAGTTTTCAACATAGTAAAACTGGAACAATCATGACAATTAGTCATTTTTAGTCTTCTGAAATTTTCCCTTTTCATATAGCAGGTGTGTGGATTCGCTGCTTTTTGCAACTTTTTAACGTATACGATATTATCAGTGGGAAAACGCCACCCAATAGAAACATTCCGCTGAGCAGAAACGAATATGTGTAAACTTGATATACATCGTACATATATCCTCCTATTAAAGGTCCTATGACACTGCCCAGTCCATTTCCAACTTCAAGATATCCAAAAGCAACAGTGAGTAGACCATCCCCAAACTGGTCAGCAACCACGACTGGATAAATTGACCAATGTCCAAAAGCTGCTCCAACTAGACCACAGTAAACAGCATTCCATTCAAATGATGTTGCAAGAGGACTTAGGATAGTGAGTACACCGGATGCAATTCTCAACGCTATAAATAAAGTTGGAGTATGTACACACTTAACTGCTGCAACGAAACCCCATAGAAAACGCCCCATCAGATTTGACAGTCCCATGATGGATACTAGAATCGCACCTGAAATGTAAAATAATTAAAATATTGGTAGAACTATCACTAGACGAAACTATTTGGCATTTTGTAGTGTCAGTTTAACATATAATCTTACAAGTAAGTCTGTTGAATGCAATAATACGGTCGATAAACCAAAATGAAAAACCAATTAGAAATTTGGAAAATTCATTTTCGATTATGGATTTCGATTCGTTATCTGAAATATAATATTTTTGTCTAATGATTTATTTATCTTCCAATTTTATCTATAGATATCCTCGAATTTTTTATTTTCTAATCGCCATGAAAATTCACTCGTTTCATTCATTCAAATTTGTTTGGGGAATATTCTTCTGATACAGATTGGAGCATTAAAATGATTATGATTCAGAGTATCTTCAAATTTCAGTCATCTCGGAAATACTGATTCTTCTTACGGGATTTGTGATAACCATTTTAGCAAATTTCATGACAAACATAACGTACAACGGAAACATTAATTTAAGGCATTTCCCGTCATGCAGAGTTACACAAGATCACTCAATATCATTCAATTTACGCAAGATCTATAGACTATTAAAAAAAAAACATACGCTAAAGATTTCATTACCATGTTTTGATTTTTTTTTAGTCACGTGTAAGAGTCGAAATATTTGTGGAAAAAAATCATGCAGAATTAAACATTATTACAACATAATGTTATACACTTGGATTAGGCGCTCAAATTCCAACGCAGAAATAAATATGTCAACGTTTTAATGAATCATCCTCTATTTGGTAGCCATATCTCATGGTGTACAATATTCAGTGGTGGGATTCAGCCGGTTCGCACCGGTTCTGTAGAACCGTCTCACGGAATTTTATGAGATCAGCGAACCGGTTAGCATTACATGACTTTTTGTAACAGAACCGCCTGAAAATATGACATTTGTATGATGGAACCGGCTGACAAAAAAATTGAATCCCACCACTGACAATATTGAACTATAATTCATTTTTACTCAATAAAAATCAAATTGTATAAAAAGATACAAAAGTATTTCAATCAGACCAAACAAAAACGTCATAATGGTGGTTAACCTAAGTTATTTAAATTATAGCAAAGCATTACGAAAAATTCTTATACGTTATCTAATCACAGCAGTAAACCAAGTCCAAATAACGTACCTTGTTTAATTGTCATGTTCAAATCGTAATAGGCACGGAGTGGAGTTAAACCAAAGACAATCATCATGCCACAGAATACAGTTACATTGTTTATAAGCAAAATATAAATATTAGGATTTTTCAACAACATTTTTGTTTGCTTTAGATAATTTGCTTCCTTTTTGATGTCGATTGTTGGTTCTAAAAGTGCAGATATTTCAACACCCTGCAAGAGAATAACATTTATATGGTTAGTCTCCAATTTTTTAATATTTTAACTATGAAGTTACATTCGCCCAACAGCAAGCCTCGTTTAAATATTTAGAAGAGGAAAATAATGGAACAAAACTTCAATTGCTTCCACTTCAGTTCTATCGACTCAGAAAACTTGGAGCTGAATTTTTTACACATTGCTGTTTACAAAGTTAATTTGCAACAATAATATAATTGCCTCCAAGCACTACTTAGGCTTTTGATTGGTTGATCTATAAGAAACCGCTTATTAGAAAACGACGCAGTTCAGCTAATCACAAGTTCAGACGAGAAGATATTTATTATAAAAAGCATTGTAAACACCGATGCGGTGTGTCGGACAAAACCACTGTTTTCAAACTATAATTAAGTCATGGTGTATCTGATCGAAAACTTAATCTTTCATTGCCACATTCTGGTTTCTACATTTCATAATTTTCGAGTTATTTTATACATTTTTATTATTCCCTAGTGAAGCAGTGATATTGTTTTGAATTTGAAAGATCATTGAATATATTTGCGGCAAATTAATGTATTTTGGATTAAATAAACAATAAAAAAGGAGTAGCACCTAAGTTGACAGCTAAACGACGAAAATTAAGTGTGGCCCATAACTGTAGGATTGATGACCCGAAACTCAGTTATCCGTCCTAAACTTCGGAACTCGGGGCTTAAATTTTTAACCAGGACTAAAAAGCTTGTAAATTTTCGTTGTCGAAAGATCGTTTATCTCATAATTGAATAGCGTTATTAAAGTCGAATTCATTGAACCAATAGTCGAAATCTAAATTTTTATCAGTACAGAGTTGAAGTCAGCAATTGATTCGCACTCTTAAACAGAAGACCTATTATACAAGCATTTCATCTCTGCGTGTAATATAAGATCAGCAGCATGACATCATCATTTAACTACAATCCTTACCTGACTCTCTTCTGGAATAGTTTCAGGAATCGATACCTTGAATACCTCATCGCTTGATTCGATATTTTCAGCTTGAACTTCTTCTGACGTAGTCTGGGAACTTAGAGCGAAAGATGACTTCCTCCGGGTCAACGGATTTGTGAGCCAAGCTCGCATTATTTGAAAACTATTTTTTCGCTGAAATTTTGGCTGATTATCTTTCACATCTATTGCAGATATTTCAGAACCTTTGGTCTCTAATGTTTTATCACTTTTTAGTAAATTGGCATTCTGGTCACACTTAACTTCAACTTCGACACTTGAAGAACTTTCTGTCTTGTTCTTTTTGAAGCAAGAGAACAATGTAAAATTTGGTGCTTTATCGACAGGACACATAATGAGTCCGAATACTATCATATTAGCGTTTATACCGCCAACTAGCAGAATAGCGCCTCTCCACCCATACAATTCCATAAGATACTCGAAAACAACAGGAAAAACGAACGATCCAAATCCAATTCCACTTGCTACAACTCCCACAGCAATTGAGCGTTTTTCCTTGAAGAATTCGCTAATGGTTATAATTGCTGGGATATAGCACAAACCCCCTCCTATACCTAAAAACAAGAAAAAAATCAAATTTTGTTGACTAAAGCATATTTGTTGTTTATGAGTTATCGCTTCCATGAAATCGCTGTTTTTAATTTTCATCTCGATCAGAACGACAGCTTATACTTTGAGAGCAAGAGTTTTGCGCAAAAATATTAGGTGTTAGCAGCTGGTAAATTGCATAGATGTTCTGGGTTGATAATTAAGATAGGTTTAAGGACTAGGCAAACGGTTACGGTAAGCTTTTAAAGTTGGATTTGTGCAAAAATTGTGCAAAAGGTTTTTCTGCAAAGGACACATTTATACTCTTTGGCAATTAGGAAAGTTACACAGTAATATCCAGCCTCACCTGCACATACAGAATATAACAAAAATATCAACCACATGGATGTTGCAAAAAAGCATCCTATTAGTGCTAAAGACATTGCTGCTCCTCCAATCATATGAGTTACTCGACAACCAAATTTAACGATAAGAAAACTGGCTATAGGACCTTTAAAACAAAAATGAGTGAAATAAAAATATGTTTCTATTCGATAAAATCTAAGTCTTTGTATCAGTTCACTCCTGTGTATACTTATCAGAGTAATGTTACTGAGAAAGCCATAACATACAAATATATACTTGAATGTACATTTGCACAGCTTTTACAGAGACCCATTAAGATTAATTACCTGCCCATTGTGCACCCATGGCCTGTTCTTACTATCAGCAATGATGAAATGTTTTGACTTTAATTAAATTGATCATTTCAAAATTTTTAATTATCCATTTTACTAAGTCAACAATACTCTTTGTACTTTGAAAGTAAACAAAATTCAGATATTGATTGGTAATTATATTTACAGTTCACTGGCATACAGTAAAAGAGCTTTTAAAACTTTGAATCTATTTTGCACTTACCGCTAGCTGAAATTGCTCCAGCGGTCGTACTACCAACGAATGAGGTGATCGCACTGGAAGATTGGAATTCTCGCATCCACTCAGGCAACAAGACTCCGTATCCAAAATAAATAGAACCAATCATGGTCTGAGAGAGAAAACTCGCAATCATCACCACCCAACCCCATCCTCCATCAAGATATGGTTGATGGTTCGATGACAGTTGACTTCTTTTATTTTTAGTTTCGTTATCCTTCATTTTTCTATCAAATGAGAAATGATTGGATACTAGGCTGAGAAAAAAACAATAATAGTATTACCATTCTCGTTCGACCTATTTACGACCTTTTGTTCGAGACAATTATAATTCGAAACGATTTATTATTCTCTTTAAAATAATGCCACGATTAAAAACACCAAGGAATATTCATGGAATAATAACCACTGCCAAATATACCATCTTTCTGCGAGTTTACACTTTACAAAATCGAATGCAATTCTCGATTGATTGTACAAATGTAATCACGTAACTGCGTATGGAATAACAAAACGTGAACACTTACCGGCGTCGTGGCTACCTTTATATCATGCATATTTCTGTATAAACTATTGAAAATGTATGGGAAGTATCACCTATCAAATACTCGTAATCATTGCACCCAAAGAATATCTAGTTTCCTTTCTAGAGAATTGCCGCTGATGAATTGAGTTTCCGCGACTTGATAACCAACGTCTCTCACTTGACAGCATAAAAATAAACTCATTTTCTAGCTGCGGCCCGTGTTTCATTGTATGTGGCGTTCGTTGTACTGTCGATTCATTTCGTGTGATATAGGCATCAAACCAAAACAAACTCAGTCACGATTTATCACGAATTTAAAAAACTAGTTTGAGCCGCTTCTCGACGTATTAAATAAATATGAGGTCACTTCCGTCGAAAGCTGCCGAGAACATATTTGAACCGTCTCTGACTAAATCCCATGATACAACGGCCTATGGGCTACAGCACGTTTTGCTGGTATTTTGTTGTTAGATTCTTGTGTGTTATACATGTACACAACAAAGTGTTATAAGGAGACTATGTTTTCGTTCAGTCATAATGGTAATATGCCCTTGAAAATTCTTCAAGTACACGTTAGCATGGTAGATAGATATACATATCTACCAGGGGTCGCTTCCCGTGCTCTTGTTTGTAGTGAAGACACAAAACATCTTTATATAAAAATATTAATACAAATTTGATTCTAAAGAAATCACTGATGATTGACTCCTATGCATTAAAAATACAAATAGATTGCCATATCATTGCTATGATTTATGATTCAACAATGGTTATATTTCTGTAATATTTCGCTTTAACATTGCCGGGTCATGTATTAGTCATATTTAGGTTTTTACAACTTAGCATCGAATAGACGAAATAACTCAATTTGTTGCGTTGTGTGTACAAGTCATTGTTTCAAGAGAATTATTCACTCATATTTGATGCAAAAATGCTCACTGCAATCATGTAATGGTGTTTTATCAAAGCATTGGTAAATGACAAGTTGCATTTAATAGTCAACCTAGATACGCCAGCTCAGCTGAAGTAAACCTTTAACGTATTTTAACGATATGAATTTATAAAAATAGTTTATATTTATGATCTAACCCACACGTTAAAAAACATAGTAATATCGGAACAAAAATTTTGCGTATTTATTTCAAGTTTTTGTTCTGTGAAATAGTAAAAACCGTGTTTGCAGTTATTAAACTGATAACAAAATGCAAAAACTCACTCAAAAATATAAACGTAAGACACTACAAACTTATGTCAAAAGGTGCAGGAATCAGGTAGTTTTTGTGACGGTGTTAGTTCATATGCAAAACTGCAGCAGATTAATTGCTAAATTGTGCGTAAAATTGTTCAGTGGTAATTAATTATTAACAGCAGCGACATATTACGAAGCAATTCACTAAATAAAAAGTTATGACAACAAAAGAGCAAAATCTACCTCTGCATAATACGAGTATCATCATTTCCTCTTTGCTACTTTAAATGCTTTACTTCATTTTGTTCAATAATCTTTGCACGCTTACAACTAAAGATAGGCAGTTCGCCATACGACCCGCAGCAAAACGAATATTATAAATCGAATCATGGAAATTTAATTCATATCCAACAACGTAACATTCCTCTTATTTATTTTAAATTGCTCAAACCATCGCTCTCTACTCTGTCATTTGAATTGTAGCAAGAGTCATATTGTGCTGAACGAACATACAAAAAATGAATTGTTTCGATACTATATGCATATAGAAAAGATGATGTCCACTATCTTAAAATTTACAAACAACTGCTCTAAAAATTGCCTGAAATTCTGCCGCCACAACACACTCCCACTAACTATTATCAAGTCCGTTTTAATCTCGACAATAGCCCAGAAGTCTCACAGTAAGTATCGTATTTTCTACGTTTTATGGCTCACTAATCATCGATTCATCAACTCGTAAGTGAGGTAATATAATGTCAGCATAATACTGCCCATAGGCATAGACGAGAGCATTATTTTATGCAACATTTTGGCATTGTACGTCATCCACAAAGAAAAAAGTTGTGACAGTTGTTCTTTGTAAACAAGCCCAGTCGAATCTGGATTCAACTGGTTCTAACGACGCTAGACAAAAATAACACACAATAAGAAAACGATTAATTATGCCAGAAGGTTCCATTACATTTGAACCCACGTACATTTGAACCCATGACAATTGCACCTGTATGCTGTTGCACCTATGGATTTTTTTTGTGTCACGGATAGTTAAACCCATACTAACCCTAACCCATGGGTTTTAGCACCCGCATATAGATTGAACCCGTGGATATACGCATGGGTTCAAATGTACATGGGTTCAAATGTACGGTCACCATGCCAGAAATATGCAAAATTTCATTTATTTCAATCTATTAGTGATTCAAGAATCTTGCTGCACACTAACACAAATATATTTCTGTAACGTTTCGTCTGACCAAGGTCAGACTTCCTCAGACATACATAGTTTAACTATTAATATTTGAGTTCACAATAGATGTCAAATAAAGCTGTGATGTCTTTCGCATAATACAGGCTCTAAAGGAATTAAATCTCCAATAAACACTTACTCTATTTCAAGTTTTGCAAGTTTACGCTCACCACAAAATCAACTGATGACTGCGTTTAGCGTACAATGCGGATCTCCCACAGGACGTTTTATATTTAGTCTGCTTAAAATAAGATGAATCATTCAAGTGCTTATGCTTTCTAGGAGAGTAAATGTAATCTAGTTAAGAAGCTAATTACAACCACGTGATCAGCCGGAGAATGTGTTCTCAGTTTAGCATTGGATTCAATCTAACGTTAAGACTATGACATAACAGTTTAAGTAAGAAAGGAGTTGGAGTAACAACTTTTTAATAATAGTAATCCCATTCTTGATCTTAGTAATACTGCACATCAATATTTTTGGATTGTCCAGTATCTTAAATAGGACTGGTAGATTACCCTGCCGACTTTTTGGTGTGGGTTACTGACAAGTTTTTTAGTACATGCAAGTTTTTAACCACATTTGCTTTTACTACGAATACTCCCTAGGCATTACCACTCATCATAATAATTTCTTCTGTTTTTGCTTAGTGAAACTTGAAAACTTCCTAGTAAGACATGTTCAAAGAATTTTAAATTATTCTTTTCAAATAAAGCTTATCCCATGGGTGTTGCTTGTTACGTAACATGGAGCTTGCCACGTGATAAGGATATGTTCATATGCGTGGCCGAAATTAATTCCGTATCACATTGTTGCAAGACAAAATTGGGACATCGCCAATGCGCGATATATAGATGTATAAATATTGAGACTTGGGTAATAGTATGGCAACTGGTTAGTTCGTCCATATGGTTATATATGCAGGAAGGGTTTCTGAAAATCATGTAAATTTCATGCAATCGTTTCATCCCTATCTTACTCTTGGACGCTGTTAGATATTCTTACATCTAGCAACGCTAAATAAAATTTATTTCAATCATAAATGTAATAAGTATAATCATTCGAAAAAGCATCCAAAAAGGGAAGTCACAAACAACGAATGAAACTACAGCGTTATATAGAATTTTGTACCTATTTGAAATGCAGTTTCCATGTTGACGAGTATTTACGGGTGGGTGAGGGAGGGGTTAAAACGTGTATTAATTAAGAGGAGAGGATGGTAAAAATAATGAGATAAAATCGCAAACTCACACATTCCTGTTTAGTAACAATGCACCAATATTCAAACCAAATTCACTTGGTATGTAGTTTGGATATTGCGCAATGAAGATAATAAGAGTGTGTATAATTTCCAGTTAATAGAGTGATTTTCTCATAACACCCGTGTTGCATTACAAGTCTGTTTAATTCGAATCACTGTGCAAATGTGTATAAAACATATATATAGTGCCTTTCAAGCCACCAGACTCACTTTGTAACAAAAAAAAAACAAAAAAGCAACGCCATGAAAGACGCCGAAAAGTAAGCCGAAAAACTATTTGTTTGTAAATAAAGCGTGCGGTTTCATAACGTGATGAACTTTAATCTGCTCTGACTCGTATATATTCATTTGCAAATAATTTTTGAGCTGCATGTCGCGTAAAATGTTAAATGAACCAACTTTAAATTATGTATTGTTTGATTAATATTTGTGCTGCACGAAATGCATTCAATACGAATGGCTTATGATATATTTTATATATCCCGTCTCTTTTATACCGTTTAACCATTATGCAGATACTGGTACATTTTTGAGGCAAATAAACATACATACATAACAAAAAATAATAATCTGTGTTTGTATTATGCAAAATATATCCGGATGTTATTGATGGTTATCATACAGCTACAGCGACTCGCACCAAAAATACTTTTTTTTATATGAATGAACGATGAAGAAATTTGTTGGCGACTTACGTCCATTCTACTACGAAAGTTATTTGCTTTAGTTTCAATGAGGTCATTAAAATATGATATAAACATATTAGAACTCATTTAATACACTGTAATCTGAATAAAGCAAACTTTTCAGGTTGAAAAAGATAATTTTCAGATTCTTTGTTATAATTGCAAAGTCATGCAAGTTTTATGTTGAACTTATAAAGTTCACTTCACCTGAAAAGGGTCCAAGAGGTAAGAGAAAGAGCATGAACATTCGTACATGGTCTGAAACAAAAAAATCTGCAGACGTTAATGAAGACCACAAATCGGAATAACCCACGTTATTGCTTTTACTAAGTATGTAGCAGAAATACAAGCTCAAGTTTAAAATCGTGTTGATATGTAAACGTACGAATGGGTAATTCGAAATTGATGTTGACTGATTTGAAAAACAAAACAAAGAGGAATGACTAATCTTTCCAATTGCAATGTTAATTTTTTGCGAAGGTCACGGAAAATTCAAACTCTTGCAGAATAGCGGTAGCAAGAGAGCAATGCTCAGATATATCGTCACGAACGTCAGATGAATACAACAGTAAAAATATACAAGTGATACCTCCTAGCAAATTCTTTCGTACATAAGTATTAAAAATTTAAAATTTTGTAGTCCATTTGTTGCTTAAAACACGAAATTTCACAACCCCTGCAACAAGAACAAAAATTATATATCAATACGATCCAACTCTTCTGTGACAGAATATCATAGTCTTTCGTGCGGCTATGCATAGAGAATAAATTGAACTGAAATTCGATTTATTGCTTGAATGGCGAGATCTTGGTTGATGCAGGGAAAATTTTGACACGGGTTTCTCGCACACATAAATCTTTATTGGTGAGAATTTGAAGTGAATATGTACTGTATTCGCAATGTATTCGTTATTTTACTATTAAATCTATGCAAATATGCAAAACTTCTACTGAAAGACATTACAGTAACGGGATTTCCAGTTTTAACTGCTTGGTAACATCTTCAATAAACGTAATTAACCTAAATGAGGTATTTAAAACGAAAATTTGATTTGCATATTGCATAACCAAAATCATTGTGGGGCTTTTAGTATATTTAAGGTGCCAGATTCGAGTTTCGAACTTTTTCTATAAAGTTACAGAATATCGCTTTCGCGATGATTCGGAACCGAAAATGCGAAGAGTGTGATGACTCGGCGCCAAGATGTCACCAATTTTTATTCAGCTGGCATGGTAGTTTGATTATTATAATATTGCTTGTTCACGCCCATAAGGGATGGGAAACTTGTTCGTTCATAATATTGGGATTCGACGCAAAACTAAACGCAGAAATGCGAAAAGGCCTTGCGTTTATTTTTTTGCCTCTTTGTAGGTATTTTTGAAGCGCTCGTACAATTTGCATAAACGCGGATGGCGACTAATTGTCAATCGGTATATTTATGTATAGTGATACATTCATATTTGGGC